CAGAGTAAGTTGTGCAATGTCCTTCCAACACAGCAGTTGTCTGCCCATCATGTGGTTTCTTATTTGGTTTGGAATTTGTATATTTGTCTTCATAAAAAAAGTGCATAAAGTGATCCCAGTTTTCAAACAATCTTTTTAGGCATCTTGCAATACTGGTGCATGCATGCTTGATACTTTTCATCTGTTCTGTACCATATAGGACTTGCAGGTTTTTCAATTCACACTGTCTCTTCAAACTTTTCTTGAAGAAGTAACAAACGTCAACCAGGTCCTCAACTTGGGGGAGACAGGAAGCCCCACCTTTTTAGCTGCAAGATGCACCAGATGGAGGCAGGGTCATGCCAGATAAATGTCTTGCTCTCCTTTAATAAAACTGTATACTCCATTGTATTGGCCAGTCATCACATTGGCATTGTCACAGCCTAATGCAATGCAATGCAGTTTACCCATTGTATTGGCCAGTCATCACATTGACATCGTCACAGCCAAATGCAATGCAGTTTACCCATGAAATTCCCTGTGAATTCAATTCATCTGCCATGATCTTAAATATATATTCTGTCCTGTGGCCGAGGATGCTTTGTACACCGGCAAAGCTGGGAGATGAGAATTTACAAGGCCACCCTATCCTTCAATGGTGACCTCTGGAGAGTACTGCTTTTTGTCTGAGTCTTTACTACCATCAGTAGCAATACTGAATGGCAATCTCGGCATCCTAATGGCTAATTTCTTCATAGTCATTGTAGACATTTCTAAAATCATAGCTGTTGCTATATCTCTGCCACATTTTATATCTGATATGAATAAAAGAAAATTAAATAATAAAGATATTAATGAAAATATCTGGTATGACACTAAAATAATTATTCCTATGGCACAAATCATCTTTAAAGCTGCACTCAGAAATTTGCTCTTTTTATTTTATTAAAACATAGCTTCTACACAAGCTACTTGATTTTGGAAAAGTGATTTTGAATTTAATATTTGACAAAAAGATGTCAAGGATGTACTTTTTACTCAGTGCTTCTTTAAAGAACTTACAGGCTTTGATTTCAAAATGTTTTTTGCAATCGTTTTGACACTCAATAACTACAGCAAGTCGTTGAGGGGATATATTGTTTAAGGGATAGAGCTGTTTTGTGGGTTCTAAAAATATATTTCAATATTTCAAATGCGACTAACTAGATATTAAAAAATATGTCCAAATCCAACTTCCCAGTGCAGAACAGTTGGATAATGTATTTTATTTTAAAAACCTTCTCTAGTTTTCTCCGTTTTCACAATTGCGGCTCTGGCGAACAAAATAATTATGTAACAAAACTACATCACACGCCTGGTAGCAGAAAAAGGGGATGGTCGAGTGAAGTTATTGCGAGGGCAACTAGACTAAATATTACTGTTGACGCATCTAGGTAGTTCATTGTGACGCACAAAGCAACAATATGACAATCATTACCATCAATACGATAGGTTGAGGTGAAATTTTTATGGCATTCGAATTTTTATTGCCTTTGACACACCCACCTATCCCCCTATCCAAGCGTTGGTAAATGGTCATTGTGGATGCCACTATTTTCTAAATGGCCGCCATCTTGGTTGACGACACGTGAAGTCACGTGAAGTGTCAACCAAGATGGCAGCTCAAAAAGTAGTGCAAAACACGTGTTATTAAAAACCCTAACCCTATATCTATCCCGAGCAAAATCTTTTTAAAAATCAATGAAATTTCAATAATTTTTTACTCACTCCTTATGCATCAGAATCTTGTATTTGGGGAGGATACACAATTTTTATAGCATTTAAAAATTCTCTCATTTAAACTCTATTACCACATAAGTGTCGCCACATATATTCAAATAAATATGAGTTGAACTGCTCCTCCCCAGGACAGGTTCTTGTGGGCAGAGATCGTTTAATTGCACTCCAGGTGCCCTCTATGGTGTTGGTGTGTGCGCCCGTTTCAGAGTGTTTGAACTCAATTGTATGGTTCACCCTCAGGTGGTGAAACCCTACAGTTGTAAGACCTCCAACAATCAGAAATTATTGTGGTTCCTGGCTGCACTAATTCTTTAATTATTGCCAGGAGGACGTCTTTACCGCGGTTCTCAACAACCCTGAAAAAGATTTTGTTTGATCCTCTTTCAATCCCACCAACACCTATTTTCCTTCTACGCGTTTGCCTCTATGATACTTCCGCTTGCCGAATTTGGATTCATCCATCTCCACAATTTTACCCACTCCTCCTAAGCTCTCACTCATCACAACACACGCTTCCACGCAGACCTCGCCACAAAAAGCTGACCCAGTCTTTTACGGTACCCCGACAAATGCTTACTTCTTTCGCAATATGTCCCAAAGGCATTTTTCTTAACCAAAAATGTGTCAATAACATAATGTCACACGTCAATCTACTGTCACTAAAACACGACCCCTTCCTTAAACTATGCACAATATTGCCATGACTTTTGTCACCACATTGCCATGCAAAATCATCTGAAGCATTTGCCCATGCACACAAGTTCATACCCTTCTTACAATGGGGACATTCGTATCTATCTGCAATGAGATACTCATGAGCCAATCTATCACACTCCTTTCGCCCTGACTTTCCAGACGATTCCAAAAACGGGAGTTAAATTCAGGCTCCATCTCCATAATTTTATGTCTATATTTAAAAATTATATTTCTTTTTTTCATTTATTATGAAAATAAAAACCCAAAAGAAACAAATACAATATAATATTAAACATTCCTCGGGCGAATTAATACTAATACATAAAAATATTAGTTATCTTAAAATAAACAAAGGGAAGTGACTCCCACATGTAAACACTGAAAAAAGACGTCGTGGCATCCCCAACTACCATTAGCCCCAAGCGTCTCATATGCAAAATCTCCTTAATCAACAACCCCCACCTCCCCTCTCAGTGCGTACATAACATAATATAAAATATGATTGTCTAAAAAAATATAACAACCAATCGTTTTTCTTGTTCCATTCACTGCCAGATCTTTATTAGAAAGTGCTAAAACTTCAACAACCAAAAATGTATTTTATTTTATCGGAAAAAATTACCATAATCATAATCATGCTGATGCCTATCA